TAAAAATACACACATACAAAAAATTAAATATTTTCAGTTTCAAATCTACCCCTCAGCACTTTGACTTGTAGAAAGGGAGAACAACGCATCAGAGTTCTTTTAAATAAATTGCAATCATTCACACTTTAGGCACCTAATTATGCTGAAAATGCAATTACACATTTAAAAGATGATCATGCCCCAGAACTAGTCCAGTTGATTTGCTTCTTCTTTAGCAGTATAACGTCTTTGCTCTCAAACTTCTACCTGCATTTCAGTACATGCAAGTGTGGCTATGTACAAATGGTCTGAAATTGGCACACACGTGCACTTGGTGGCAGTTTAGTCTTTTCCATCTTATTAACTGCAACTAAAGATATATTTTATATACAGGCACTCTCATACATTCCAATTGTAGCTTCATAGTTTATATCAAATGCTGAGTTATATTCTGTCAGAGGGAGGGGGCTTAAATCACATGCAAACTCTAGGTTCTGGTATTTTGTCAATGCAAAAGAACATCAGCTAAAACCACAAAATGAATGTTATTTACACTTCAGCAAGGCTACTTATTAAACTTTTGAACTAGAGTTATAACTCCGTATTATGGGAAGGATACAATTACCTGTTTACATTCCATTTCTCATTCTATGTAACCATAGCATCAGATTAGTAATGTTAGAGTCATAGGACACCATCCAACAACCCTTGGCGCTATAGAAGCTGAAGTTCCACAGTCGCCCCAAAATAAAACAGAAGTTGCCACCATTACCCCTCCCCTACACAAGCCCCATTAATCCCTAGACTTGATCTGCCCAAACCTCCCACCAAAGTGCCCCACTTCTCTGACCCTACTGGAACCACAAAACTACCTTAGCAGCTGGTCTAACCCCAGCAGACAACTCCAAAGGGTGGGTGAAGACAAGGAACAGGTTTCAGGCCCATTTTATTTTTAAATTAAAAACAGCCATTTTGAGTTGGGGGTGGGAGATTTCATATACACACCCATTTGCCGGCTACTGGCATTTAGGGCAACTCTTGTCCCAATTCCCCGCCCATCATTTCCCTTCTCCCCTACCCCCCTTTGAAGAGGGTGAAGGAGGGCTCCATTTCCACCAGCAAGAGAGGACTTCCTATACTACCCCTCACATCCCTATTGGTTATGTCTAAACAGCAGCTGGGAGGAGGCTTCCCAGCATGGGTGGACAGACATGCTAGCTCTGCCCAAACTAGCACCTAAAAATAGCAGCATGGCTGCAATGGCACAGGAAGCAACTCAGGCTAGCCACCTAAGGACAGTCCCACTGGGGTACTATTTCCCAGTGCTAGCTTGAGCAGAACTCACAGGTATGTACCCACGCTGTTAAGCGCCCTCCCAGCTATTGGGTAGACATACCCTTTGTTGGCTTGGGTCAGAGGGAATTTCTGCCAAATATGGAGGAAAAGGCCTGTCAAATGACTTAAGATATAAGGCTTGCCATGGGTTTAGTCCTTCTAGGTCCTCCCTTCCAGGCTACGGCTGTATCTTGACCAATGCTGCTTGCATAACATCTTTAAGAGATTACCTTTCCTATCTATCCCCACAGCTAAAATTCTCATCCAGGCTCTCATCTTGATCAGTGAATTTTCAGGCCTTAACAAATGCAGTCTTGCCCTACTCATATCCACTCAGAATGCTGCTGCCAAGATCATTTCCTAGCCCATTGCTTTGACCATGTCACCTCTCTCATTCATACCTCTACTGGCTCCCTCTTCTCTATCACACCAAATATAAGACGTTTGTCTTCACTTTAAAGACCCTTCACAGTCAAACCCCATCTTGCCTATCATCTCTCATTTGCTACTGAGTTGTCAACAGTTGCCTACAATCAGTCCATGATGCCAGCCTCCACTGCCCACTTGTTAAGTTTTCAAACAAGCATCTTCATGCTATCTCCCATGCTGTCCTTCATGATTGGGAGGAGCACCCCATAAAATCTGCAAAACTAACACACCCTTCTGCGCGATGATGCCTACAAAAAGCTTGACAACGAACAGCTAGTTGGTGCACTGAGACAACTGCCTATCTTGTGACCAGTATTGTTTCCTTACCAGTATTCCTCCCCATCTGACCAAATTAATCTGTTGCCTCTAGTCTTATACTTAGGCCTGGTCTACACTACGGGGTTAGGTCGAATTTAGCCGCGTTAGGTCGATTTAAAAAATGACTGCATCCACACAGCCAACCCCGTTCCATTGACCTAAAGGGCTCTTAAAATCGACTTCTGTACTCCTCCCCAATGAGGGGCATAGCACTAAAAATCGACCTTGCTGGGTCGAATTTGGGTTAGTGCGGACGCAAATCGATGGTATTGGCCTCCAGGAGCTATCCCAGAGTGCTCCATTGTGACCGCTCTGGACAGCGCTTTGAACTCCAATGCACTAGCCAGGTACACAGGAAAAGCCCCGGGAACTTTTGAATTTCATTTCCTGTTTGGTCAGCGTGGCAAACTCAGCAGCACAGGCGACCATGCAGTCCTCCCAGAATCGTAGAGCATAGAATGTTTCTACGCTCCCCCATCATCTCCATCCCTGAGGTTATTGCAGATTAGAAGGCCAAAAAAAAAAAAAAACCCCGCACTCGCGATGACATGTTTTCTGAGCTCATGCAGTCCTCCCGCACTGATAGGGCACAGCTGAACGCATGGAGGCGTTCAGTGGCAGAGTCCAGGAAAGCATTAAGTGAGCACGAAGAGCTGAGGCAGGACGCGATGCTGAGGCTAATGGGGGAGCAAACGGACATGATGAAGAGTCTGCTGGAACTGCAGGAAAGCCAAGAAGAGCACAGACCCCTGCTGCATCCACTGTATAACCGCCTACTCTCCTCCCCATGTTCCATAGCCTTCTCACCCAGACGCCCAAGAACTTGGAGGGGCAGGCTCCGGGCACCCAGCCACTCCACTCCAGAGGATGGCCCAAGCAACAGAAGGCTGTCATTCAAACAGTTTGATTCTCAGTGTGGCTACAATAAAGCAAATGACCTTGTCCTTCCCTCCTCCCCCACCACACCCAGGCTACCTTGTCCGTTATCTCTCTTTTTTTTATTTTAAATTAATAAAGAAAGAATGCATGGTTTCAAAACAATAGTTACTTTATTTCGAAGGGGGGAGGGTGGGTGGCTTACAGGGAACTAAAATCAACGAAGGGGGTGGGTTTGCATCAAGGAGAAACACACACATCTGTCACACCGAAGCCTGACCAGTCATGAAACTGGTTTTCAAAACTTCTCTGATGTGCAGTGCACCTTGCTGTGCTCTTCTAATCGCCCTGGTGTCTGGCTGCTCAAAATCAGATGCCAGACAATTTGCCTCAACCTCCCACCCCGCCATAAACATCTCCCCCTTACTCTCACAGATATTATGGAGCACACAGCAAGCAGCAATAACAACGGGAATGTTGGTTGCGCGGAGGCCTAACCTAGTCAGCAAACAGTGCCAGTGAGCTTTTAAACGTCCAACGGCATATTCTACCACCATTCTGCACTTGCTCAGACTATAGATGAACTGCTCCTTACTACTGTCCAGGCTTCATAAGCCATGGGAGCAAGGGGTAGGCTGGGGTAGGTGCGACCGTGCGGTGCTGCTGGCTGGGAGAGCAGCCTGAGGCAGAAGCCTCCAGCTGACATGATATTCCAGACAGGACTGAATCTCCATGAGACGAAACTTAAAGAAGAGAATGACCTGGAGTCTCTGGCTCCCACTTGATGCTCTAAGAGGAGAAGAACAGCCATGTCTGTCCAGGCGCCCCGATCGACCTCACTGAGGTCTGCCAGGAGCATCCAGGAGACGTACGACAGCTATCAGTCCTACTGCACCATCTGCCACGAAGGCAAGGAGCTGCTGCTGTGTAGCAATGCAGTACCCCATCTGCCAGCAGCGCCAGGAGATGTACGGTGATGGTGAGCTGAGCTGGCTCCATGCTTGCCGTGGTATGGCGTCTGCATGGGTAACCCAGGAAAAAAGGCGCAAAACAATTGTCTGCAATTGCTTTCACGGAGGGAGGGATGCGGGGAAGGAGGGAGGCCTGACGACATGTACCCAAAACCACCCGCACTGGGAGTTTAACCCAGAATTCCAATGGGCAGCGGAGACTGCGTGAACTGTGGGATAGCTACCCACAATGCACCGCTCTGTAAATCGATGCTAGCCTCGGTAGGAGGACGCACTCCGCCAACTTAATGCGCTTAGTGTGGACATACGCAATCGACTATATAAAATCGACTTCTATAAAATTGACCTAATTTCCTAGTGTAGACATACCCTTAGATTGTAGGCTCTTTGGGACAGGACCCATCTTTCATTCTGTGTTGTAGGTTGTAGAGTGACTAGCACAAAGGGGTCCAAGTCTATGACTAGGGCTACTGAGTGTTACAGTAATACAAAATAATACACAATTATTACACATCAATTATACACTCTAAAAAAGGGGGGCTGGGGACAAGACACATTAAATACCAAAACATTATATTAAATCAGAATTGAGGTTGAGATTTTAAGCAACAAAAAATAAGACATTTAAACTTTGTTCCCCCTAGTAACTTTACTCAAGCAATTCGCGCCAGAAAGGAAATGTCTTATTTAAAAAGATACACAATTTTTAACCTCATAACCCTGTAAGCTGTTTGGGGAGACCATTTATATAAAGTACAAGAGGTAAAGAATTGATAAAGAAAAAGTAGTTTGTTTCACAGTCAACCATATTAACATGGAAAGTCATAACATTTGCACCTGTAAATAGAACCCTGAAACTAGGTCTTCCCTTTGTAAGTGAAATTGTGAGAGCTACAGTTTGTAAATTACCCTAGGTGGTAGTTACCCATCAGAATTTCAGATCCTGAGTCGTCCTTCACTGCCCCAACACACAGTGGAGAGCTACAGCTTAACTCCTTGTACTTTAGCAAGCTAGAACAAATACTGAAAACAAAATGCTCTCTTTTTAAGCTCAGAAGGATACACTAATTCCTAGACTACAGGCAGAAATACTGCATGAATACGTATCTCTCTCTTGGGGAAAGGCACCATTATTTAGAACTTCACTCATCAAAATATGATACACATCAATTATAGTTTCAAAGGCCATTTATTGAATTGCAAAAGAAATTCACTCCTAGTCCAATCCTTTGTTTCTTTACCATAAAAATGCTTATCGTGGCACATACAAACTCAAGCCACCCAGAACACCCAAATTACAACGTGTTGGGGTGTTTTTTTTGCGCTACAGATAATTGAACAACAGAAATATTCCATAGTTTTATAAACTGACTACTACTCTAACAGGTTAGTTAAAGGTCAAACCTTAATTCAAGTGCCACTACTCACATTTAAAAATGTTTTATAGGAGCATCTGGAAATTTGTCAGTTTTCAGAAGTTCCCCATCAACATGTTCATCTTTTTGTTGTGAAGCTACAATATAAGTCAGAGCCTGGAAGTCAATTATTTTGTGTCAAGGTCCAAATTTCTTGGTCAAAATATAGTCAAGGTCCAAACTCCAGAGAAAATAAAAATGATTTCAGGTTCCATTCAAAAGCATCTGGCAGTCCAGATTTGGCCTGTGGTTTATCTATTGACTACCCGTGATATAAGTGAATCGGAAGGATGAGTGGAAAAAACAGAATCAGACTAAGTGTAACTGATGTTTCAAATAGCAATAGGCATTTTTTAAAATATGTCTAATTTACAGTTTTAATTTCACTCTCTAAAGAGAAAGATATTCAAGAAATGTGATCCCACTACAGTTACTGGATTAACTAGTAGCCCATCTGGCCTACTTTTGAATGCAAATTATTTAAAATAAGTGGTATGCATCTTTATAAAGTAACAATTTTTTTTAAAAATCATTCGTAAGTCCAGAATTGCACAGCTTACATGTTTGTTTATTTTTCTGTAGAGGCAAATGTTTCGAGAATTTGAACAGACTACTGAACACACGGTTTCCAAATAGTTAGTCCTTTAAAAATTTAACAAGTACTGAGATTATATAGATAAAATAGAATATCACAATTAAATGTCCATAGTTTCTACTGCTTACCAAACTCAAACTTACTAAAATCCAAATCAAACACAAATCTGGCACTTAACCACAATGTTTTTGTTCATAGTAAATATTGCTGGATATATATGTTGAAAGCAAAAGTATAAAAATTGTCTTTTTCGGTGCACAGCACCACTGAATAAAGAATAGGCACAGAAATTTTAAGTTGTTCACTAGTGTGACTTTGTACTGATGCACTTATCTGGTAGAAAGGTAATACCTTGAAATAGATCTCAGCATGCAAGACAAATTCAGTCGGGTACTGCAAATTTTACAATCTATTTATCATTGCTCAGGACAGGTTTGGCATTGTACAGAGATTTGTCCAATTTAAGGAATGGCGAAAGCATTAAAGTTTATCCATTATATCAGAAGGAAGAGCCTAGCACAGGGAATCCTTCATTGAACCTGGATGGAGATAAGAGAACAATGATGTTGAGAGGGGCGGCTGAGGCTAAATTATATCAAGGAACTTGTGTACTACTTGAACTTTTGACCCCAAGTGCTAAAATAAAGATCATGAACTGCTGATTAAAACAACGGAATATAACTGATTTGCATAGTTATTAAAAACACAGTTGAAAAATGTATAAACTTGAGGGGAAACTAAGTAGAAAAAGAACGGGTCAACAACAAAGAGAACCGTGGGCTAGCTTAATATCAACCTCACTCACAATTCAGGATCAGCCCCATTCCAGCTGCCTTTCCTCGCACGTACTGAGTCTCACATTTCCCACACACAAATTTTGGCCTTATCTACACTGGGATTGTTGACCCAGAATTTCCTACCATTGCTACCCGTAGTGAGCGTCACTGGCAGGAGAAACAACGAGTGTACCTGGAGGAAAGAGTCACCAAAGACTGCCAGCTTTTCAAAAACCACGTCATGCAGACCTGCTCCGTGTAGGGCTTGACGACGCCCTGTTCAAAACACCAGTGCTGCCTGCTTGGAGACTCGGCTATTTTAGTGCACCGAGCGTATGGAGAGGGGAGCTTGCAGAGTCTGGCAAGCGGGAGCCAAGGCACCAGGCACCTGCCCCGAGCGCGGGTGGGGGGCCGGTTAGGGGGCTGCCCCGACGCCGGCGAGCCCAGCAGCACTTACCCAGGCACTTGATGCGGAAGCCGGCGGGCGGCTTGAGGGAGCGGCGCGTCCAGCCCTCCCGCAGCACCTCCAGGTGCTCCTCCTTGCCCTGGATCAGCAGCACCTGCTCGTCCAGCCAGCCCAGGAAGAAGGTCTCGGCCACGGCCGCCGTCACGCGCGGGTTCCAGAAGTGCTGCATGTTCTCCTGCTTGAAGTCCGCGAAGATCTCGTAGCCGATGCGGTGGCGCCCGAGCTGGGGCGGCTCCTCGCCCGGCGGCGGCGGCGGCCGCTCTCCGTCCTGCCGCCCCTCCTCCGCCTCCAGCGCGGCCCCGGGGCTCAGGACGATGGCCAGGGAGTGCGGGGCGATCTGCAGAAACTTCTCCGCCTTCCGAGGCATCGCTGCGGCGGCTACGGGGCGCCCCAGCCTCTGCACGAAAGAGACACCCCCGAGCCCCCATCAAGGGAGGGCGGAGCTGGGCGCAGCTTCCCCCCCACCCGCACACCCACCGGGCGGGCTGCCCCTCTCCCCAGCACAGGCCTAGGCTGCCTGCTGTCCCCCCCGCAGCTGCACGCGTGCGCCCAGCCCGCCTGCCGCCCCGGGAGGTGCAAAGCGGTGCTGGGCGCCGGCTCCTCCTGCACAACCTGCCGCCCCCTCCCCACCTAGCCTCGTGCTCTGCAGCCAGCCAGCTCCCGGGGGGCGGGTTGGGCTGCGGAGCTCTGCAGACGCACGTTACCTCCTGTTCCCGGCTCCTCTCCCGGCTCGGGGCATGCTCTACCCTGTCTCCAGACGGGGCATCTCGGGGCGCCGAGCTCCCTGCTCCGGTATCCCGGTGAGGGGCAGGTAGCGGGGTCCCGGCTGGGGGAGGAGCTGCAAAGCGGCTGGAGCTAACCCGGGGAAATTAACCCTCCCTAGGAGGAGACACCAAGGGGAGGGGGATCGTGCCTGAACTAAACGGCGACCGCTTGGGCAGGGCTGCCCTGAGGTTTGCTAAGGGAGGAGGGATAAAAGTGCAGCCACCAGAGCCTGCCTCCCTGGGCGTCTCTGTTCCCGATCTCTGCTCCTCCTCCCTCCCCTTAGCTCTGCTTCTCCTCCTGTGCCCAAGGGCCCATGAAACTCTGCTCTCTCTTTCTTGGTATGACAAGCTGTACAAGTGTTCCCAAAGCTACAAAGGCGGTGTTAAAAACAAAACTCCTTACCTCAGGGGTGGGCAAACTTGGGGGGAGGGGCGCACATCCCGCCCTTGAGCTCCCGCCGGGGAGCAGGGCCCTAGGCTTGCCCCACTCCACGCGACTCCCGGAAGCAGCGGCATGTCCCTCTCTGGCTCCTACACTTAGGGGCAGCCAGGGAGCTCCGCACACTGCCCGCGCCGCCCCCGCAGCTCCCATTAGCTGGGAACCTCATTTCTGGCCTCACCCCCTCCCGCACCCCAACCACCAATTTCATGAGCATTAATGGCCAGCCAAACAATTTCCATACCCAGATATGGTCCTTGGGCCAAAAAGTTTGCCCACCCCTGCCTTACCTCCCTTGGAAGTGGCACCTCAGATTATTACAAAGGAAAAACTTGTATTTGTTTTCATATCCAGCCAGCCGCAACCCCATGGCACTTTATGGACAGGTGAAAGACATTGCTCCTGGTCCAAAAAGTTTGCATAAAACTCTCATTGACTTTTTACTATTTATTCTATTTTTGTACTTTTGCATTTCTTTCAGCTTGGACAATAAAAACCCAATGAGTTAGTTTCACTTAGGTTCTCATGCACTATTATATTTCGCATTTCTCTATCACCTTCCATTTGGGGATCTCAAATCACTTTACAAACATTAATGAATCAATCCTCACCTTCCTCACAAGTGTTGTATTCCCCTTTTCAAAGATGGAGAAACTGAGGCACAGAAAAACTAAAGGCCTGATATTCAGAGTGCTCAGCACCCTCAATCCCTACTAAATTCAATGCACAGCACCTCTGAAGATCAGGCCCTAACTGATTTGCCACAGGTTGCCCATTGGAGAGCTCAAATTTCCTAACTTTGGGTATGTCTGCAGTGGCATAGGTATGGCACTGCAGCTGTGCCACTGTAGTGTCATAGTGTAGACATTTGCTACAGTGACAGAAAAGGGTTTCTTGTCAATGTAAAAAGAAAAGGAGTACTTGTGGCACCTTAGAGACTAACCAATTTATTTGAGCATGAGCTTTCGTGAGCTACAGCTCACTTCATCAATGTAGTTCATCCACCTCTCCGAGAGGTGGTAGTGTTGGTTGGTGGAAAAATTCTTCTATTGACAGAGCCACCTCTACACCAGGGGTTTGGTCAACCTAGCTGTGGCGCTCAGTGCATGAAGTTTTTCACAGCCCTGAGTGATGTAGCTAGGTGGATTTAATTTTTGAGCGTAGACCAGGCCTTCTAATTGAGAGCTTTTATCACAAAGCCATCTTTCCTCCAAGTTCTTCATTACCGTAACCTGATGATTTAACTGGGAATTGGTCCTGCTTTGAGCAGGGGGTTGGACTAGATGACCTTCTGGGGTCCCTTCCAACCCTTATATTCTATGATTCTATGATTCTATGATTCTAACACTGTAGTTGAAAACGCTACAAGGGGAGGTTTGTTTTGTTAAAAAATTTCCATTTAAAAAAAGAATTATGAAAACATTAGTTTCCTATCGCTCTTCAGATCTGTAACAGCATATTGTCACCTTCCCAGATGAAAGAGGGAGAAGGTTGTGCCCAAATCCAAGGCCCACCAAATTCATCCTAATGCGTCTAAAATTAATTGTAAGCATCCTTTTTCAAATAGTTATATCAGGTCTACACTGGCCAAGTGTATTTAAACTACATTAGTATGAACTGGGTTGAAGCCTGTCCAGCTATCATGTCTTCTATTTCACTTTCAGCAATCCTGAATTAGTGTCCATGGGTTTTAGAGATGGCTCCATAAGAATTTGTTGTCATCTATTTAATTTCCATCAATTAAAGTGCAAACTTCTTTTCTATTTGCAGTAGCTCTTTCCCAATGGCTTAATATTTTATCTGATATCAGCGTTTCCAAGTTGAAGGGGCTCCCTCAGGGGTGCCAAACTATTTCAGGGGGGATAGGCAACTAAGAGACCATCAATATGCTTACATAAACGGAAGGACCCAGATCTATCCCTGCATATGCTGCTAGGCAGATGCGCTAGATAGCTCCTTAAAAGTCACCCACTTCCCTTGTTCACCTAATAAGACTGCAAGCAAAATTTTCAAATGTGCAAAGTGACTTAGTACCCTTTGTGAAAATACCTTTGAGGTTCTGGGCCTTAGGAGCTTAAATCCTATTGACTTTCAATGAGACTTAGTCTCCAAAGTGCCTAACTCACTTTTGAAAACAGCACTTTAACTCCTAGGTCAGTTAGGTGCTTTTGAAATTTTTATCCTACATCTTGCCCCCATTGTGGCCCCAGTGTTGATGTCTGAGAGAGCAACTAACATAATACAAGGTGGGGGCCAGGTATCAATTTACCAGCCCACCCAAGATTCACATCTCTGCTCCCATGGCACTCAGGTTATCCTTGGGTGCAACAAATGGATGGCCCCTACCCCAGCAGCCCATAACCTTTTGGAGAACAGGGGAATGAAGTGTGTGGGTGGGGGGGACACTGGAGCTATTATCAAGTGATCTATCCCTTGTCACCCATTCTGAGCTTCTGGCAAACAGAGGCTAGGGACCCTTCAAAGCATGGTTTTGCATTCCTGCCCATCCTTGCTAATAACCATTGAGGGACCTATCCTCCATGAACTTATCTAGATCTTTTTTGAACCCGCTTATAGTCTTGGTATTCACAACATCCTCTGGCAAAGAGATCCACAGGTTGACTGTGCAGTGTGTGAAGAAATACTTCCTTTTGTTTGTTTTAAACCTGTTGCCTATTAATTTCATTTGGGGACCTCTAGTTCTTGTTTTATAAGGAGTAAATAACACTACCTCATTTACTTTCTCCACACCAGTCATGATTTTATACCTCTGACATATAGTCACTTAGTCATCTCTTTTCCAAGCTGAAAAGTCCCAGTCTTATTAATCTTTCCTCATATGGAAGCTGTTCCATACCCCTAATCATTTAACTTTTTCCAATTCCAGTACATCTTTTTTGAGATGAGGCAACCAAATCTGCATGCAGCATTCAAGGTGTGGGCCTACCATGGATTTATATAGAGGCAATATGATATTTTCTGTCTTATCTCTCTTTTCTAATGATTCCCAACATTTTGTTAGCTTTGACTGCTGCTGCACATTGGGTGAATGTTTTCAGAGAAACATCCACGATGACTCCAAGGTCTTTCTTGAGTGGTAACAGCTAATTTACACCCCATCATTTTATATGTATAGTTGGGATTATGTTTTCCAATGTGCATTAATCAACATTGAATTTCATCTGCCATTTTGTTGCCCTGTCACCCAGTTTTGTGAGATCCCTTTGTAACAGTTTGCTGTCTGCTTTGGACTGAACTATCTTGAGTAGTTTTGTATCATCTGCAAATTTTGCCACCTCACTGTTTACCCCTTCTTCCAGATCATTTATGAATATGTTTAACAGTACTGATCCCAGTACAGAATGCTGGGGGATACCACTATTTACCTCTCTCCATTCTGAAAACTGACCATTTATTCCTAACCTTTGTTTCCTATCTTTTAACCAGTTACTAATCCACGAGAGGCCCTTTCCTGTTATCCCATGAAAGCTTACTGTCCTTCTAACTCTTCTCAGGAAGGGTTGGTGTCCTGCTTGAACAGAAGGTCCTGTTCATTTGCTAGATCAAAAAGGCAGCCCTGAATCAGTTTAAACTCAGGCTATTTAGCCAAAAGTCCTTTTGTTGTCAATTGGTCTCTGGAGAATCCAATCTGAACTAGTTTATGCAAGTCCCTCCAGGTGGTGGCACTTCTCTGGAGGTGTTACAACCTGAGGAAGTTGGCTTTTATCACCACTCACTTTTCTCAATTAGCTGTGGTCACCCTCCCTGTGAAATTACAAACAGTCCCTGGACCACAATGATACAAATTTAATACAGTAAGATTTCCCACTGATATTGCAGAAAATTGCCAGACCTGTCACAGCAGGCAATAACACTGGGATGTTACACTCCATATTCTTTATGAAAATATGCTTATGATATGGATATGACATAACTGAGATATGTTTTATGCAAGATGGGTCATATGAAATATCATTGAAAAGGTTATGATTTACTGAATGTGATTATCCAATTTGTATGCATGTATCATTTCTGTATCTAAAGTTAAGAATATGGACTATGTAACAATTACAACTGGGTGTATATTTGGAAGACACCAACCAGACAACAGGCCATCAGATTTGCTGGGCCATTAGGAAGAAACAACAAGACTGTGAAGATACTAATTTGTCTACTTCCTGGGAGGCATCCTGAGAGGGAACTGTGACACTGCTAGATCAGGTGGTCTTGTCACCTGATACTAAACATTATCTTAGACTTCTTGTAACTTTCCACTAAAAGGAGGGGGCGGGGTCAAGTTTGGGAAACAAAAGATTCCCACCTTATGTAAATCTTATTTAAGAGTGGGGAGGAAGGCAAACAGGACACTCCTTCATTGCCTACCCAAGAAAAGGACTGCTGAAAGAACCTGAAGGGACAAAGGAACTCACCTGAAGGGAAAGGCAGGGGTGAGTCAAGACTGAGACAAGGGTCCAGTCTGTAAGAAGAAATAACTGGAACTCTGAGCTACGTAAACTCTGCATCCTGCCTAATTCAGTATTTTGGGTGAGATATTACATTTTGTAACCTGTTTCTTTAGTGAATCAAGCTTAGTTTGCGTGTTTTGTTTTATTTGCTTAGTAATCTGCTTTGTTCTGTTTGCTATCTTTTTAACCCACTTAAAATCTGCCTTTTATAGTTAATACAATTTTTTTGTTTTCTATTAAACCCAGTTTATGTAATTTCTAACGGGGGGGAGAGTAAGAAGTTGTGCATCTCTCTCTTCACATTGAGGAAGAGGGCGAAATTTTATGAGTTTGCACTGTGCAGATTTTTCTATACAGTGCAAAACAA